CCCGACCCGGAGTGGGCACTCCACCCTTTTCCGGCTGAGAACCATGGCCTCAGATTTGGAGGTGCTGATCCTCATTCCCGCTGCTTCACACTCGGCTGCGAACTGTTCCAGTGCGAGCTGGAGGCCCTCACCCGATGAAGGCAACAGAAGTATTTGTTCTTCACTCACCTATTTTCACTCACTATGTGTGGTTATGGGAGACTGCCCTGCCCCACCGAGCCTGTTTCTACCAGAAATTCTTCCTTACAGGGGATCATTTCATTGTTTGGGTTTTCTGTCAATTGCTGTAGATTCTTTACCTTACAATATCAAGCGCCTTGAGGCGACTGTTGTTGTGATTTGGTACATAAATAGAATTAAATGAGGTTTGTAGTAAAAAGCATGTTTAATGCTCGTTTAGAGTATGAAAGCACTATGGAAGTACCTGCCAAATTTAGGTAGTGAAACACGATCACTAGAGGATTGATTAGATTCTTGAACAAAATCCGAAAGGGCATATTTACATTTACTCCAAGATCTCATTAGTTACACGTCATTCACAAGAATAACTTCTGGTTTGTTGAGGCGGCTCACATAACACTTTTAGCTCTGCTATTTATGAGGTCCAAAATAAATCTGTGCACCTTGTGAAAAGTTTTAAACTCACGCATGGTGCATAGTGTTTGGAGATATTGCCATGTAACAGTTTTGCAAGTTTTACCAAGGACCTGATTTCAAAACTTGAATAATGTGAAACTAAAGTGGTGCGTGCAGAGTCCATACTCTGCCACGACCAATGTCCTGTTTTTCAAACTTTTAGAACGTAATAACAGACCAAAGTTTAACAAGTTCTTCCTTTGCCACTGCTTCACCTCTCCATTAAACTTCATGAAATGCAGATCAAAAGTTGTGTAAACACAAAATCAGATGAACAAATGGCATTCAACTAATGTCTATCTTGACTCTCATCTTGGGGGAAGAATTAAAGTTACAACTCTTTAATGTATGTTATTGGTTTGTTTCTGTCATTTTACATATCTCACCATCATCCTGGGGAAATTACTTCCTCCGGCTTCTAATTGTTTTGGAATTAAGTTAGTGATGGTTTAATTCAGTTATAACATGCATGTTTATCTTTCTGCAGAAAGCCAGGGTGGTGCTGGTGATGTGAAGAACTCTCTTGAAAATGTGCATGCTGATGATGGACCCGCCACTCTGTCTGTACCTGAAGTGAAGGTCAAATGTGAACCTGTGGAGGAGGAAAATCAACAGGCCAGCAGACAGTCCGACAAACCAGGAGAAGAGCTGCCTCTGTATGAAAGTGGACAGTGGAGATCGACGACACAAAATGAGACTGGACATAACAGCTCTCATTATTTACGTTTAGGACAGAACTCCCTGTCGTGTCTTCCCGAATCGTCTTTGGACAGTGGGCTGGTCGTGTCCTGCAGCAGCTCTGGTGGATTTCAGCAGAACCACTTTGGTCGTGGGTTACTGGGTTATAGTCTGTACCGCAATGCGTACAACACGGCACGGAGGAGGACGGTAAAGAGGCTGATGTTTAAGAAAGGCTTTATCTGTCCGTACTGCGGCAAATGTTTCGAGCGCGCGGGGCATCTCGAGCGGCATAAAAGGATTCACACTGGTGAGAAGCCATACCGCTGCGAGATATGTGGGAGGCGGTTCAATCAGAAATGCAGCCTCAAGGAGCACACAAAGATTCACAGAAGATGTAAGTAAAATGCTTCCTACTATGAGGTTTTTGGTTTGTAGCTTTAAGTTGGATTGTAACCAGCTCTCATCAGTGAAACACTTGGTCAGTTAAAGCTTGTGGAAATGAAGGCAGTGTTCATCTTCAATGCTTTCAAGCACTCAACAACTGAACAAGCAAACTATTCTGAGGGTGCAAGTATAGACACGACTCCTTTCTTTTTTTGCTGATATATGCCTATGCTCCTATGAGCAAGCTATTGCAGTATTAAAAAAAGGGAGGGTTCAGCAGCCCCAACTATATGCTTCATCAAAGAGGAAATATTTAAGAAGAGAAGAAGAGGGGCCTGAAAGCTGAAGGATCTGCCTCCTATTCTACTTTTTAATCCCTAAGAACCAGAAACGTGCTCCGTTGGGGTGATATCGTATTATAAGGTCTTTAAGATTATATTGGGCCTGATTCTTCAAGACCTTGCATGTGAGAAGAGTATGTATAATGTTAAATGGTGATTATGAGACAGAGTTTTTCAGCTATTTTACAGAGTAACATGAAAGTATTGTAAGTAGGATAACAAATAACTTTTTCCTGAGAGTAATGAGGTAATGTTTTAGGAAAGCCTGTAAATGAATTACTATAGTTGAGCATAGAAGGTTTTCAGCATCACTTTGAGACAGGGTGTTTCTAATTTTAGAGATATTTCTTGAATGCAGGAACACAGTCCAATCATGATAGGTGTCGTAGATAAATAAATACTAAAAATTGATCATTTTAGCCTATTGCTAGGTGGTTCCTAAGCAACAGGACATGCCCGAATAAGTCTTTGTGGATCTAAATGAGATGTTATTGTGAACTTAAAACTTTTAAAAGGTGTTATAGGTGCATAGATGATAATAATTGATCATTTATATACCTACCTAACTATTGTTTGTTGGTTGCTAGGCAACATGATGGCATGATATACTTGATAGAGAGATAAACTTTGTTCATGCTGAAAGCACTTTGCTTGTTGCACTTTGCTGTGAAGCTGACAGCTGCTCACCTGCTGACATTCCAGGTTCTGGTTGCCTTGGTAACTCTCTAAGATTGTATGCCATTCAACACAACAGTTTCCTGTACTCTCATTGGTCCTGTACTCTCATTGGTCCCGTACTCTCATGTTGGAGTCCTGCCCCACTCATAGTCACTTGAAGTCACCAAATGTCATTCATGTTTTCTCCTCACTTTTATCTTCCATGTTGCTTCCATCTTTAGATGTACCTGTCCTCCACGTTTGGTTGCTCAACTCACGATTGTTTAAGCATAGTTGGAGACAAAGAAACAAACAGATTTTGTATAAGAACAATATGTCGACCAATTAGCTTTTCAGAAGCGACCAAAATGGTTAGTGCAGAAAGCTCGTTTAGATGATTTGAGACACAAAGACAAACACAAAAGCTTCTTATTATAGTTTTTCAGGAGCATCAACCACAGTCACAAACTCTGTCCTAGGCAACGGCTCTGTCAGATTAATTGTTCTGAAGAACTACAAACTGATTGACAGCTCTCCCTACTGGTGGCAGGTTTGGCAAAACAAAAAAGAAATAAATATGACCCTTACATTTAGCGCCATATTTATCATAAAGGTTTGAGCTATTTTCACACAGGAACTTCATACAACGCTAAAAGGGAACCTGTCACAAAATGGTTCGAAGCTGCCTGTTCTCACTTCTAACGCAACAGGAAATCTGCTTCAGAAGGTTTCTTACTAGCAGAAGTACTGTTGATTTTTAGGTGATAATGCCATTCAGGTATGGGACCAAAACTAACTCGAGTGTGACTTCACGTTGACAGATGAAAGACCGTTTGTCTACATCCTCGCATGCAGCTCGTTTTGTACAAAGACTAAAAAGGTTCAGGGTGAAAGCAGCCCCGGACCCAGTTAAGCTGCTCCCCTGCTTTTCTAACAGTCTGAACATGAGCAGAGAAAAAGTTGTGAAAACATCTGTCGTACATGCTCAAATATTTCAGTAACTGCACAATCATTGTCGCTCTCAGAAGGGCCAAAAGACTTTGTGTTACACTTGGCAGTTTTGAGGTCTCCAGTAGTTTGGAGGTACATGTAAATCAGGGTGTTGCTGCATAATGGTGTGTGCACTCAGGCAGTATCCTCCTCTGTTATCGTACTGAAGGAGGTCAGGACCGGTGGCTGTCTGGTTGGTGGGGAATTACTACATTGCTCAACGATTCTTCAGCAGGGCAGGATTAGGGAGGTTCACGGATTTGTGGAGGATCAAACTTGGATGCCTGGGGTCATTGGCTCTCTTCCAGCGTACAGTATTATAGATTTTACTTATAAGAATGAATGAAAGATTAAAGACACATTTAAAATTATATGTAATTTATATGAAACATATAGAAGCAGTAATTTTATCTTTTAATTTGAAGGTTCATGTCACTCACATGACACGTTAGTAGCTAGTTGTACGCTGTGGTGTGTTATTTTTATCTTCTGTCTCTGAGTCTTGGTTCACAGTTTGAAGTCAGTAAGCACAGGAAAAATTATGTGGGTTAGGTGTGACGACAGTGAGTGAGTGGAGGGGAAGGTGACTTAAAAGGGTCTCAGTGAACAGCAGAGTCCCCCTTCCTGCCTTGTAGAGCCAATTTTTAGCTTTGTGCTACCCAGAGCAAGACCACCGGGCTCTGTACAAGATCCACCGGATATTAGTTACCGAGGTTGAAACCCAGTTCACGCATGTAACGTGACACTATTGAGATGTTCAGTGCCCTTCGAACCTTTAGGCAATTAACCAATTTTCAGCTTATTTTCTGCTGATCTTAGCAGAGCATAGCAAGCAACACTGAGGACAAAAATGACCCTCTGTGTTTGCAGGCAGATGAAACAATAAATCATTTCAGGGGTTCCCTCAAAGTATTTAGCATAGTTGGTAAGCCACCATAACTTTGTGTTCGAGTGTGGCGTCAAATCCAAACCGTTTCCAGATGTCTTCATAGACGACATCATGATTATTGTCAAGCAGGGGTCGCAAGTTTCCTTCCCTGCGGGTGTTTAAAGGAAAGAATTTCTAAAGCTTAAACTACTTGTGTTTTAAACAGCTTAAAGCTTTAACTGCTGATGGTAAAGAAGCAGGAGCATTATTTTCCATACCAACTGATCACTTTTGGTCTCAATTGTTGTTATTATTAACAATAAAAAATGAGTTTTTTGACATTTAACTTAGGGGTGAGCAGAATATTCCTTTCACCCAATAAATAAACAAATTCAAAATGATTAATTTTAATTGCAGTTTCTACACTCAGTTGCTCTGTGGCTGCCAGTGGGGCTCGCTCTGCAGTTTTATACCATTTCTGTAGTGTGAGGTTGAAACCTGCTAACCCCGTGAATATACCAAACATGGCTGCATGTTCTGGCTCTGAAGCCTCTGGAGCTAATTGCACCCACTCAAAATGATGATTACAGTTCCACCAGATGTGCTGCTGTGTGATTCAGAAGCATTGTAGGAGTGACTTGAGGTCTCAGTGCTGCTTAAAATGGAGCCGGGTCTATTTTTGATGAAGACGCCTCAAGTTGCACAGAGCAGATTAGGGAGGCGAGAATCTGGTCAGTTTTCAATATCAACGAACCCCCACCCACAAGACTAAACACTTCATTTCTGGTGTGAACTGACACTCTGAGAAGCGCTGAACAAAAAACTGGAGGTCACAAAACTCCACAGACATACACCTGACTCAAGTTTGAGAACATGTACCGGTTTAATCTTTGGTTTTGTTTGTTTGTTTGTTTGTTTGTTTTTTGCCTCAATAATGACTAAAATGACTTTTGAATAATGAAATTTGCTTATTTTTGATGAACTTATCCATTAATTAAATAACTGGAACACTACAATAGACTTCATAGCAGACCTTAGTCCAACCACCAGAACTGAAGAAGCTTCTCGGATGAGAGGTGAAACGTCTTCAAGCAACTTAAAGAAGTCCAGACGCTTTTCTTTCCAAGCTCCTTAGACCACCATTTTCATCCACACCTCTGAAATTGCAGCGATAGTGAGCTGAGTGTTTTCAGGCGTCATTTTCCCAGCAATGTTTTCTCCAGTTCCTCCTGGAGGTCCTGAGGTGTCCACAGGCCAAATTCTGGCCAAAAACATCTGTGTCATTTATATTCAGTCTGGCCAGGAAACCTATATTTAATATTAATTTTTCCACATTCTTGGAGGGTCTTTAAGTGTGCTTTAAATGAAATCTAGTCTTTAATTCAGATGAGGCTGGCACCATTAAAAAAATATTTCCTCTACTTAGTGTTTCCAATTAACCTATCCCCACTAACTGCATGTCTTTGGACTGTGGGAGGAAGCCGGAGAACCCACGCAAACACAGGGAGAATATGCAAACTCCACATAGAAAGACCCTGGCCTGATGGTGGAATTGAACTCAGGACCTTCTTGCTGTGAGGCAACAGTGCTAACCACGGTGTCACCCGATTTAAATCATATTTTAAAACAAATTAGTTATAGTTAAAAGCAATTTGGCATAAAGCCCACCACTGAAAATGCTGAAACAATGCACTCAAAAAAAATATCTATCTTTGGATGAACACAATTTAATCATGGCACCTTTTTCCACGTGATTTAACCAAGTACAGTAACCCATTTTAGACCATGTCAAACCAACACATTTGGCATCTGGTGGTTTTATGTAATCAGATTACGTTGGATCACCGTAGCATACTTGCATTGACTTGAAGTGATTGATTTCAGTATGTAGAGTGAAATTTGTTTTAATTCATTCTACACAAGTTAAAAACTTTAGGAAAACACAATGAAATCTTGTTGTTGGAACAACTACTTTGTTAATCAAAGCAATTACTGCTAGTCGTGCTTAATGAACCAATATAGGGGTTGATGATTTCATAGAAACAAACAACCATTTGCACTTACATTCATGGGTAATTTAGTATCACCAATTTCCTAGCAAAACTAGGAAAGCTATGACTACAAAGCTTGATGCAGAATTTTCTGCACGGTTTTGTCCCTGACAGGTTAAACCACAATAAATAGCGATAGCATACACGTGGTGTGGGTGTAGTTGTCTGCCTCTTAAAACTCCAGCGATTTCCCTGCAGTTTGACATCTAATGTGATCTTGTGAATGTCGTGAGTCCAGGCAACGAACCACTCTTACTAGATTGTATCATGTCATCTTAACAAGAACAAATTAAGTTGCTGAATTTCATGCAGATGCTACATGATTTAATTACGTTCACCATAGAAACATGAAATTATTTAGTTCAAATTACAAGCTTGAATCTTGCACATGTAACAACCACCCAATTTCATTTGTTTGAGTGTGGGGAAGGTACTGACTGGAACTTGGAACAGTGGCACTGATGATTTGACAGAAGGGTCGTAGTTGGTTTGTGGAGGTCTTGGGGAGATGGTGGACTGACTGACTTGTAAATTGTAAATGGTCTGGCACTTTAATATAGTGCTTCTCTAGTCTATTTAAGAACTCAGTGTGGTTTCTTGTTACAAGCCTCATTCACCTATTTGCATATATTCATGAAAGAGCGGGTTTTTTTTTTTTTTTGGTTTTTTTTTTTTGTCTAAGCACCTTTTTACCCAACATTGAATCAACGGGGTCAAATATCTATGGATACTTTGACAACTGGATTGGAGGAGTAGTGATTGAATATAAGATTATCCATTCTGAAACCAAAATAAACTCGTCAATGTTTAAAAGGTGAATTACCTTATTTTTCCTCCTCTCTCTGCTTAAACAGGTATTCAGTCAGGACCTGTTGAGATCCAAGTGGCTGAGCAGAAACTGATTCCTGAGGTGAATCCACCTATTGATGCGCATCGCCCTGAAGAAGCGATCGTTGAAGATGCTCTACCTAAGAGTGAGGACATTCTGCCAACACCTGTACAGGTTAAATCTGAGCCTGCAGAGAAGAATATCACACCGCCACCGCTCTTTCACGGGGGAAACGAGCAGACAAGAGAAGGAGTTGAAACCCTCGGCGACACCTTGGCAGCGTTTGAAAGAGACAGCCAGCAGTGGATGCCCAGACTACAAAACAACCCTGAGATGGGCAGTACAGAATTTCTTAGCAGCTCGGAGCAAAACATGCCATCGTTCCCCGGGATGGCTCAGTTACTCTCTCCACCAGCTGAAGCTTCTTGTAGCACCTTCTCTTTCCCAGGAAAACCGTATGGCGAACTCAAAAACAGCATGATCTCCCAAACGCCCTTTGGATCCTCAGACCCTCTTATGATCTCACAAGAAGGAGGCTTACACGGTATGACAGAGACCTTGATGAATCATGTGCATCAGAGGAGAAGCAGATCTTTTCAGGTAATCAAACCAAAGAAGTGCTTCATCTGCTCGTACTGCGGCAAGATCTTCGAGCGAGCCGGACACCTTGAAAGGCATTTGCGAATTCATACCGGCGAGAAGCCGTACGGCTGCCACATCTGTGGGAGGTGCTTCAATCAGAAGAGTAGCCTCAAAGGCCACATGAAGACACACAGAAATGGTAAGGAAGGGGCAAAAGTATCGAACTTCTCTATAACATTATAGATGATTGGAAAAAAGCAGGTACACGTTTTGGTAGCTGGAATAGTGCATTTTTGTTAAAGCTTAAAAACTCGTACTTTTTTCCTAATGAGACACACAGGTTTCACAACATGGTAAGAAATTTATTTCTGAAGAAATTCATTAGGAAAAACAGCAAATTAACAGTATAATTCATTTAGTTTTGGTCATGATAAATATTATGAGTTTATCAATGCTGAAACCAGGAGTCAACTGTGATACAGCTTCCTGTGGAGCGGTTCGTGGCAGCCCGGCGAAAGCCGTGAATAGTTTTTTTTGGTTTGCTGATCATATTTCTATATCCCCATTAAATGTGTATTTTCCACTTTATGGGATCCATATGTGAAAACAACCAGCACTATTGTGTATAAAATTTGTTGGCTAACACTATCTGCTAATTAACGTCTGTTCTTGTTTTTTCTGGAAAGGAGAAAACCCAGATGTGCTGGAGCCCCAGCACATGATGTTTACACTTCCTGATAACCAACTGTTGCAGAACTTGGCAGAATCTAAGAATGGACTACCACCTTTTGAGGAACCCTTACCAGGCCCCACATACGGTGAGACGGCCAGGGAGGAAACTGTTATGGTAAAGCTGGAGCCTAATGGAGAGAATTTTCAGGCTGTAGGTCAGGTAGGGACTGATAATGGCACGGCAGCACCAGATCAAAGTCAGCTGTGGACGTCTGGGCTTGAGAAGAGCAGCGATGCCCCTGAACAAACTGTCTGTGTACTTCTACAAGATGTCAAGTATCACCTCAGTCCTGCTGCCGGAGCCGTGAGTGAGCAGCAGGGATATACGTCGCCGATCAAGGATCTGCCTTTTCTAGACAAAGAAAATGAAGAAATGATGCTCAGTGACCAGTATTCTGTCTTAGGCATGCAACCCAGCAGCTCTAATATAACTCTCACACCTGAGCCACACAATCAGCATATCATACACAAGGTGGCTGTGAGTGATTACAACACAGCGAATGACCGGACTCCTGAAGTGAGTGTTTTTGGATTTAACATGAACTCGTCAACTGACCGTGAGGGAAACTGCGGCGAGGAGTCTGCCACGCAAAACTGCTTCATATGCTCGAACTGTGGCCAAAGCTTTGATAGCTTCGATATATTTCAGAGACACCAGTGTGAGAAAATCACAGAGCAGCCTTTCAGCTGTGAGATCTGTGGAAAGAGTTTTAACCAGATGAGCATCCTGAAACTGCATCTTAAACTGCATGTGGACTGAAATATACAAAAATATGTAAGCATAGCACACAAGTACAGTTATTTATATAAACACTTGTAGTAAAACTCTCAAAGGCTGAATCTGAAGAACAAAATCTTGAGGTAGGTTTTTTTTTTCCAAGCACAAAAATGACTGATCCATCTGACTTCTGTGATATTTTTAAGTGCTCACAGAAATGTTTTCCTGCTGCTTCGAACCACTTCATCTGTTTTTGAATTGATTGAGGAGTGTAATTGCTCTGCAACACAACTGCTCTTTACTTGCTCTGTATTGTTCTGTGCTGGGCTCTTGAGTGCCTTTCACAATAGTGTAATTAATATGAGGAGAGAAACAAAGTTGAGAGTATGGAAGCGTGATGCATTCACTTGACATGAACAAAAATACACTTGTTTTCTTTCTCAATTACAATAATTATCTTGGAAATCCAAAGAAAAACTTGAGATCTTAAAATCGTAAAAGAGGAGAGAGTCTTTGAGTCATATAGTTGATAACAGTACAAACTATTTGCTGTATATTCAAGTGTTTTTCTGGGATCTCTTAAACATCAACATACAAAAATAGCAGTATCTCCCAAAGTTTTAAATGTGAGCAAAAGTAAATCCATCCATCCATCTTCTTCCGCTTATCAGCTGCCGGATCATGGGGGCGGCAGCCTAAGCAGAGAAGCCCAGACCTCCCTCTCCCCAGCTACCTCCTCCAGCTTGTCTGGGGGAACACCAAGGCGTTCCCAGGCCAGCCGAGAGATATATTCTCTCCAGCGTGTCCTGGGTCTGCCCCGGGGCCTCCTCCCGGTGGGACATGCCCTGAACACCTCGCCCAGGAGGCGCCCAGGAGGCATCCTTGTCAGATGCCCGAATCACCTCAACTGGCTCCTTTCAATGTGGAGGAACAGCAGCTCTACTCTGAGCCTCTCCCAGATGGCTGAAATTCTCACCCAAGAGGACAGCCACCCTTCATAGGAAGCTCATTTCTAACTGTGTAACACTAAGTGGGGAGTCAGGAATTATCATTACTACTCAAGAAATCAAGCTTTCGTGTTCTTTTGAGATCTTACGTGAAATATGTTTCTTTGGTTGGCACAAACAACTCATTTTTAGCATTTATGCACCTGCAACACTTATTTTCATAAAGGTGAATTATATAAGCCTAGAAAACCACCTTTTAATGGGCTAAAATTACCGATTTTAGCATCTAAACAAAATCTGGTGCCTGAGTTAACCAGCAGCACAGACAGAACAAACAGTGCTGCATGTGCATGGACTGGTCTCACTGATTCAGAAAAACAGGAGCGTTTTTGCACAAATGAATCCATTATGTCTCTGTAGGTGAGAAACATCAGAAGCTGTCAGATGTCTGTTAGATGTTCTTTTCTGTAAACGGAGCAGTTACTCAGACTTGTCATTCGTTTATGTGTTACTAACTTTTTTTTTTAAAGTAACAGGCCAAAAACAAATGTTTGATATTTGCAAGCTACTAACTAAAAGCTTTTTCTGTTATTTAAGTGCAGAACTTCAATTTTTAAAAAAATCTAAACTACTCAAAGACATTTATTTTGTGTCAAAAGTACTTTATTTTATTATAGTAGCCAGTACAGTCCTGTAATCAACCATTACCTCAACCCATATGACATATTAATAGAATTTTAAATAGCCCTGCTTCTTATGTGTCCTTTTACATTTGAATTACATTTTTAAAAGATAGAGAAAATAGTTACAAACATAGATTTCATTTCTCATTATCACATATCAATTCGAAAATATTTGATTGTTTTTATTGGTACAAGTGTATGCATTATTTTAACACATTACATTGAAATTTAGCGTTCTGCTTTTTTATTTGCTGTTCCATACTATAGCATATATAACGAAGCAAGTATACTGGACCAGTTTTTCTAAACTTTGGTTGAGACATCATGCCAAAGCGGTTAAAGTAAAATAATTTAATTTTGCATCAGTAAAATAGATTTTAAGATATGGGCTGGTGTGTAGTTCACCCACACAGAGTTTAACTGTTGTAGAAGTTACTGTAAGGTAAGTTTTAAATTTAGTCGAAGACATTCAAATAGTTGCTTTGCAGCATTTTATTTCTGTCCTCTTATGGGCTGCGCACTGAACCTCAAATCACGGTATCTTCTAAAGTTGTATGAAATTTGCGCTTGCACTGTAGTGCCACATTCTGCAAGTTTGGTCTTAAACAAGACAAATTACAGCTGGATAGTCTTTAACTTTCCAGTCGAGCCAAGATTTCAATTATGTGACATTTTCCACTAACCAAAAAAAATTTCCTTGAAGAAATTAAAGGATGAGAGTTAATGATGAAGAATCAAAGAGAAGGTTGTGCATTAAATACCTCATTTACATCTATGGTGACTATCAAGAATTTCAAATGGTCAAAGACTTTGAAGTTTCTCTTTGTTTGGTTGACTACCTATACCTACCCACGATGATATTTATTGTGTGAAATGTATTTTTATTTATGACCTGGGTCAAAGACATAATCCAGAAACTAGTTACTAAAGCAGTGTTGAGTATTTTATATAGACAACAGTGTCCTGAATTGTTAGATGGACTTAAAGAGGCCATTAAAATAGCACCGACCAAGCCAACAGAGAGACTGTCTGAGGCAGGTGTCACAAAACTATTTCGTGTATCATATGAGTGCTTCTGTTTTGTTTTGTTTTCCATGGAAATGAAATTCCTAACCTGCCACTGCAGTGTCGATGCCTCTCAAAAGTGCATCACAAAGTAAACCTCTTATAATTTCCCCCCTTCTTATATGAAGTGTTTTCTGTTTACTTTAGTACAGAGGTTTATTACACAAGGCTGCTGATCAACAATTGCTGAAACCCAAGGCCGTTGTGGAAAGATTTAAATTCACTTTGTACATGAAGTTGGATTACATATTCAAGGATACGTAATATGTGAATAACAAAATATAATTTTCTTTATTTGTATTTTCTAATAAATGGAAAATTCTGTGTTTGAGTTGTGGATTCTTTTCGTATTGATCAGTCTAAGTAATTGCTAAATGTTAAATCTTTCAAATACTGATTTCTTCCTTCTCCCCATTCTGTTACATCTCCTACCTTCCTCCTAGTCTTCCAGTTTTTCCATATTCTTGGAAAAAATGTAAAGTTGGGACCCTGTAGGGCTCCTTGAAGGAGCCTAACTTACACAAAATGTATAAGTTCTAAAATCACAGATGGGACCTTTGACATTACGTTTTTTTTCTTTTCTTTTTTTTCAATTACTAAGATGCTAACTCACTAGTTTATAATTTTTAGGATCCCTGGATACGTCTGTTACAGTAACTGCATGTTCTAAAGTGGGCCAGTGTGTGACTTGGGAAGATGAATGGCTGATGAGCAAAGCCTGTGAGTTAGTTGAGGCAGACATCACATCGCACCAAGTCTATTTAAGTGTAAAGAATCTTTCTCTCTGGCATCTCATGCCAGCATCCACCCTTAGTTCTGGAGGACATTTGACTCATCCCAATGCAGTTTCTATGTGTAGCATGTTTGTGGGGAGTAATAAGCTTAGTAATAAGTAATAAGAGAGTAATTAAATTCAGTTGTGTATTTGAGATTAAAATGAGAAGATTTAAAACATGGGCGATGTTACCGTGACTACCGTGATCTGTTTGTAAAACCCTGATCTTGAACCCCAATAACGGCATTTTGGTTGTTGCCATGTTGTGTTTCTTAAGATCCTGCCGCGGGCACATTTGGATGAATAGGTGGAGTTTTTAGTTATCACATTAAGGCTTGTGAGATACTGTTATGAAGGGAGTTATTACTTCTAGAGACAATCAACTGTGGCACCAAGACATAAACATTTAAATTTTGCTTGCCACAAATGCCCTGTGACAATGCGCACGTGTTTCTTTTGGTTCTTCGAAGTTGGTGTCTGCTTCATTCTGAGTCGAGGGCAGTGGTAAAGGCACAATTCCACAATGTCTTTAAACTGACAGTGAAAGATGGTCTCAATGAAAGTTGGTATTAATTGTGACGCACCACGAGTGGCTGGATTTAGCTTTCTCAAATCTGTTTTGTGTGTTTCAAACTTTTTTGTAAACAGCACACTGGGCGCTGGCAGCTAAGAACAAGAAACTGAGGCTACAGTTCACACAGGCTCACCAAAACTGTACAATATGAGTGATGAGTCTTGATTTCTGTTGCAACAATCAGATTTTAGGGTCACAATCTGAGGAAAAATTAGGGTTTGGAGTGCTGCTGGTGGTGTAGCAGTGTGGTCGATCTTTCCTTGGCACAGTTCGGGCACCTTGGTACCAATTGAGCTTTCTTTAAACACCACAGTCTATCTGAGTGTTGTTGCTTGCTCATCCCTTTATGACCACAGTGCACCCATCTACCGATGGCTGCTTCCAGAAGGATAACACACCCGTCAAAAATATGTTAAGGGTTTAGTCTAGAGGTATGATTGGTCTGGTACTCATTTGTATCAAGAGATCTATTTCACAGGTTCTTCTTACACAGAAAAAGGGTCTCCAAACAAATTCATATAAAAGCAAATGAACTAGATTAAGGTATCCACGTATGTTTTCTTGTATTTTCTAAATATTTTACTGATGTCCTGGAGTCCCAAAGAGAAGGTCTGTTGTTCCATTTGCACACATTTCCTGAACTTTCTTTATTCAAACATTTTTCTATCTTTCTTTAGTTTTTACTACTACTGCGATTAGTATTTGTAAGTACAATCTGACTTGTTTTTTGAGACCATGTGGCATATTTCCCAATAAAATACAACAAGAATCTAAACTAATCTTTGAGCTGGTTATTGACCTTTATCTCATTTCCTAACCCACAATTTCCTTTCTACGTGCAGTTTTAGCTCAAATTTAACACCCATGGGTGATGACTCAGAAGGATGAAGGCCTCGTACCTGTTATTCCACCGCGCCTCTATTCGTGTATTTATGGTAAAGCCCTCCGCCACACGGAAGAAAGGTTTCAGCTAGCATGATGCTCACAGGGATGTAAAAATTTTCTACTGCGTCGCTTCTTTTCACATTTTTTAAACCACTGCTTGGAAGCACTTACTAATTCTTCTAATTTACCTGGCATATATTACTTTGAA